CGTAGCCCGCTCGATCGCCAGACTTGAATCCATTAGATTTTTTCTACTGGGGCTGTCTTAAGGACAAAATTTATTCAAAAACAATTCAAAACGAAGAGCATTTGCGGGAACAAATAAATGGAGCTGCTGCTGAGATAGCCCAATTGAGTTTAAGATCTCTAAAAGCGTCTTTTCTTAAAAGGTGCCGAGCTTGTATTAGAGTAGAAGGTCGCCAATTTGAGCATATTTTATCAATAAACGAATAAATTTTTCTTCAAACAACTCATGTATGTTTTATTTCACGTGAACCCATCCTTCACAAAAAATATTGATAGATATAGCCCTTGTTATTGACTCTAGTCCGAATCCCGGTAAGTAACCTAAAATAATGTCAGGAGCAGGTAATAATGTACCTTTGTACTATTTAGCATGTCATTGGTCGGTAACAAGAGCAACTTAAATTTAAATCTATTAAATACATTCTAGCGTGTCTCAGTCCTTTGCCCACAAAAGCAGCTATAACTTTTTTTTTCTATTCGAAACAGTAAAAGTGGCACCTTTCTAAAATCTTCATTAAATGAGGAATTTTTTTATGTAATGTAAAGTTATAGCTCAGTACATTTTTTTTCACCAGAGATAGTCAAAGTTGGGGAAGAAAATATCAAAAAGTTAAAAATCGCAATATAGTGCTAATTTTATAATGGTTCCTTAATATATTTTAACTACATTGCATTTGAGTATGGAGAAGCAACTATCTGAAAGTATTTTACATAAAAAATTTACTAAGTATNAAAATGTTTGCTTATCAGGGAGTCCACCACCCCTCCTGCCTTCTCCTCAAGTTTGGCAGGTTACTTCTGGGACACCCTGTATACATACATACATTTGATAAATGTTGAGTAAAGTTATCGCAATTTTGGTTTATTTTGTCTCGCACTAAAGCCCTTGCGAGGCTACGTAAGTATGTATGTATGTATTTTGATAATGGCTTGAAAATGCTTTAGCCACAGTGCTTGCAAAAAAGAAAGTGGCTTTATGAACACATACTACAAATTAAACGGTGAGAGGCCATTCAAAAGCTGATAAATAAGCTACCAAAATTTGCGGCAAATTTGCTTCGATTCATTTATTGGCATTTTAGTTAGGGCTTTCCAAAACTTATTTTTTTCATTTTTACTTTGTTACGGTGGTTTTTTTCTCTATTATATACATACATATTTCTTCTACTGGTGTCTCTCCATTCGTCTATAAAATTTGACTAGCGTTAATTTGCAAAATTTAACAACTTGGGTTTTCTTTTCACTAAGTAAATATGTATGTATGGAAAATATAAATATGTACATAAATACATGGGTATATGTTTACAAATGTAAATAAGTATATGCATACATATGCACAAATGTTTTTATGCGACTCTTATCATCCGTGCATTCGTCTCTTTTACTGTCTACACCGTTAATATGCTTAATTTTTATTAAAGCTCAGCTTTAGTGAAATATCCGGTTTGTTTTTAACATAATTTTGTTGTTGCTCTCGCCTTCTGTATTGTTAAAGTAGCAAGTGCACACATACATAAATAGCTAATAACAGCGATTTAGATCAAAATTTTGCGACAGCTGAGGTTAGGCTCCTCAAAGAAATGTTTGAATGATAAAAAAAATTCCCACTTAATATAAGCACATCCAAACGTACACACATATGTAAATACCTGCATATGCACAAATGAATTAATGCACGCAAGTAGGCAAGTATGTATGTATATTTGTAATTTTACTAGAATTACTTTATTGGATATGAAGAACGAATAGCAAATTGAGTTAGAGGACAGCAGGAAGTAATTTCCTATGCTACATTTAATTTTGTTTATAACCATGTGCTATTTTATACATACTATGTATGTATTTCACGTCTTTCTTTTACAACTGATTTCATTACTCATTTTTGCACTTCGTCGGCGCTTTTTTTATTTGAGTGCTTGTTAGCCGACGTAATCGATAAAATTCACATGTGGAGGCGAGTGAAAAAAATCCAACAGGAAAATTTTCTCCAATTAGATTTTAACTTTACGTCCTTCCAAATTCACACACGTTCACACAATTTGTTAGCTCACATTTTAGATTTCACACTGGGTATACTCCTTGCGCAGCTTGTAATTTAATCCATGCACAAGAATTTTAATTCGAACACTTGTGAATATTTACTTTTTATAAAGTTAATAAATTGAACTCTTCTTAAACGCGTTCCAACACTTTCCCCAATTTTTCTACTGCTTCGGCAGCCGGGTCTGACAAACTGACAGCAAATTTGTTGGAGCTCTACTGAAATACCCCAAGTAGTGTTGCCGAGTTGCTGTAATTTTCTACTACGTTTTCTTTTGTGGAACTTAAGTTTGAAAGGAGTGTGTCTTAGGTAGGCTGCTTAATGAAAAATTTACTTAAATTCCTTTTATCTATACATTTTAAATTTTAGAAATGCTTTATTACTTTCAATAGGTTACTGTTGTATTAATTAAAACTGGCAATAAATAATTTAACCCGGTCCGAAAAAGGTTTACCCTTACTGCAAATACGCTAAAAGGAAACTATTTACTGTTTATTTTGTTTTTTGTTTAATTTCTATTAAGATAATAGATTGGCGCTTTCATATATACTAATGTTTGAACAAGCTTCTCCTTCGATTTGTGACATAAGCCGACTCCGAACGGCGATTGTATTTTTATGAAAAACTGTTTTTCATGGCATAAATACATACGGAGGTTTGCCATTGCCTGCACAGGGGCGACCGCCGTTGAGAATTTTTTTTTTCTATATTCTTTTGCGATGTTGCTTAGACCAGGCCTTGAACCCAGGACCTGCGGAGTGGTAAATCACCAGCTATAGTACTTCCAAATCATTGCTTTCCTACATCAATTACTTAATTTCAGATATTCATGGCATATGCCATGGGTTAATTTCCTTCAATGTGACAGCCCACATAAACAGCTGTTTTTGGCAGCCGATTATTCAATAGGCTTGCGGGTACTGCACCTTCAGTTGTCATACGTGGAAATAGAAAAGAGTTTTTAATACAATTTTGAATAAAACTAATGTTAAGTATATAAATTAAATATGATATTCGTTCGTACAGTTCTATCATGTCGATGTTCACTAATTTCCATCGCAAGGCATGGTTGCAATAGTGTGACATCAACAAGAAGCAGCACAAATGGACGCTTTTTGGCCACTTTCAGCCGCTCCAAGGCACCAGCACTCACACTTGTCGCACAACCGCATCGTCTATATGCGTCTACCACAAGTGCAGCAAACAGTCCTAATGAGTCAGGTGACATACGTGTCTACTATGGCAGTTTAGCGCCAAGAATGAAAGCTGTGAAGTTGTTTTCACTTACAACAAGCTTGGCAGGAATGGCTGCACAGCCGGTTCTAATGGAACAAGGTTTGAAAATGGGTGGCACCCCAATGGCTGTATTTCTATGCGGTTTCGCCGGCTTCTTTACATTTGTAACGCCGCTTTTACTGCACTTTGTTACAAAAAAGTATGTAACTGAAATTCATTACAATCCACAAGCCGATGAATATACGGCGACAACGATTTCAATTATCCTTTATCAGATAAAGGTATGTAGTAATATAAATTTCTGTAAGATAATACTTTTGTTATTATTTTTTACTTTCAGACGAAATTCAAGCCTAGCGATGTTAAGGTGCCTGAAGTGCCTGGTATGTTTACCTCCTTCTTAGTGCATGACAAACCATTGTTTGTTGATCCCTCACTGTTTGAGGATCCTGAGCATTATGTGCGTATCATGGGCTATGACAAGCCAGTGGATTTTAAATTGGAACCATCAGAAAGTGCAGCTAAATCAGCAGAAACGGTTAAGAAGCAGCAATAAATCGGTTGCTGATGAAACGTATTAGAATAATTATTAAAGTTACAAATTAGCAGACTAATATGTTCGTCTAAATTATTTTATATCTAACATAAGGTTTCTTTAATACAAAACGAAATAAAAGCAGCCTTTTCAATTTTACTTGTTCCCAAAAAATATTTCCTGTTAAAATTTCATGGACTACTATTCAATCAGTGTAATACTTAAATGATGGAATTTCCACTCGGATTGCTTATAGTCGAAAAAAATATAATATATAAAAGAATGTTTAAATATTTGTTTTAATTTAACCTGTGTCTGCCAGCAGAACTTTCCAGTGTCTCTCAAAACATAGAAATCATTTATTAGGTTTGTTCGTCGAGCAAAAAATTTGTACGAATTTGTACGAATTATCACGATTTTTGCCCAAATCGCGTTCGTGCAGACCAAAAAATTATCCAACACTCAAAAATTGTGAGAGCAAAGTGACAGTTCTCTTGGAGAGAAGTTGCAAATTCTTGCTGGAAAAAATTTTGCCAGCAAGAATTTGCAAACACGAAAAACATGTGGTTGTGGCGCATGGTTGCATTTTTGTCTACAATAATTTGAATAAATTAGTTCGTTAAATTTAAAAATTTATAAACACGAGCGATTTTTTTATGAAAAAAGGAAGTAAATAATTGTTGATATAATTAATTTAGTTAATTCCAATGATTTGAACTTAATTCGGCTGAAAAAAATGGTATTCGCAATCGGAATGCAATTGCAACCAGAGTCGATTTAAGAAACCCGACAGCTAGTACGATGAAGAAATTGAAATGTATGTCAAAGAAAGTCAGAACAACAAGAAATATACATGTATATCCTGTTTTTGGCCATCCGAAAGAATTTTAAAAATTCTATAAAAATTTTTTATGTTTGAAATGCAACCGTGGACGCCAGCTGGCAGCGAAACTTGCAAATTCCTGCAAATTTGCGTTCGTGCAGAAATTTGCAAGTTTCTCAACATGAGAGAGAATTTGAGAGAATTTTTTCTTACTCTCTGATATTTTGAGTGTTGGATAATTCTTGCTGGATTTTCGACGAACAAACCTATTCTATACTGTGATTTATTCCATACGCTACACTGGCATTAAAAGCACCTATTAACCGCAGCCAGCTGATTTTGTTTACCTGCTGGGCAAATAAGTAAAATGCCAAGAGCGGCGTGTTTTTGTAATAAAATTAATATTTAAGAAAAAGTGAACTTAATATACTGAAAATCATGTCCAATAATGATCTTAAAATATATTTAGAATTTAGGTAAGCAGTCTAAATTCTTTATACAGTTACTGGAATCAATAATATACATATTTATAATTTTGTAAACTCTTAGTGCAGGCGCCGAGTTGCTGTTTGGAAACATTAAGCGGCGGCAAGTAACATTGAAGGGCGATGAAAAATGTAAGCTAACAACAATAATTACATACTATTTTTACATGGAATATAACAATTCCTTTTATAAGGGACCATACGTAAGCTGCTTAAGTGGATGCACGCAAACATTTTAACAGAGCGGCCGGAATTATTCATTCAAGATGATTCAGTGTAAGTGCCTCGTTTGTTTGGTATACATATGTGTATGTCCGAAGGTGTAGCTTATGAACTTTATTTGGATGTGGATTAACTTATGTACATACTTACATCTATTTGTATAACTTCACTGCTAATATTGGAAATTATACTTGACATTCCCTTTCCATGTGCAGGCGACCCGGCATTTTGGTGCTAGTAAACGATACCGATTGGGAACTACTGGTAAGAAATGTTTTAAAGAGGATATTACGCTTATGTTGTTTAAAATTTAATTTGGCATTTACTTTGCTTGTAGGGCGAGCTTGATTATGAGATTCAACCTAATGACAACGTTCTGTTCATTTCCACACTGCATGGCGGATAGTTGGAGGCAATAAATGGCTTGAACGGGCTTAAACTTAAATATTTTTACTTTTTTAACAAGGTTAAACTACTACTATGTACTAGTTCATCAAATAAATTCGAAATAATTAAGATGTATTAAAAAATATGCACTATTTCGCCAAATATGGGACTTTCTTACAAAAATTTCCTTTCGGTTTGCGCATTAGCTACATGAATGGGTGGGGGTGTGTGTGTATTCGCTAAATGAATTATATGAAAAAATAGCAAATTGGGTAGCCGTTCTAACTACGCAACAGTGGTGCATTAGCACTGCGCGCTAGCGTTTTAAACTACGAATCGCGGGTTCGAATACCAGTCGGGCGCCCCAATGTTTATTTATAATTGACGTAGTGTGCAGTTTTTATGATGTAAAAATTTTATCCCGAACTGTCATGTGGGCCTTTACCGTTCGCGGTGAAGGGACGTAATGCTGATAAAACTGCACTTTTTTATAATTAGAAAAAAAAAATCACCTTTTTAAAATAATAACTAAGGTTTAAATAAACCGAATATAAGCGTTTTTGTCTGACTCAAACAAATTTTTTTTAAAAGAGTTACGAATAAGACAAGATAAGTCCTTATGAATAAAAACTAAGCATTTGATTTTGCTTAAAATTCAACCCTTTTACTCGATTTATTCAAATAAATTTAAGTAAAAGGTAGGAAATTTTAAGAAAAAAGCAATTGCTTGGTTTTAATTCATAAAGCGCAATATTCAATTCTGGTAACTGTTTTGAAAGCTCTTTTACGTCTCTCGAAATACTAGTTGAAAGATTTGCTAAGGGTCTTGCTGTTTCTCTTTTTACAATAAGTTTCATACAAATTAAATTACATTAAAAAATGTTTGTGTATATACATATGTAGTACATACATACATATATTTTTCTAATAAACTAAAAATTAATAAAAAAATTAAAAGAAAATTTAAATAGTAGTAGACAGCCGGGTCTACGTAACCGGAACGACCCAGATTTATATCTGGCCAAGAATTGTCACTCCAGCAACACTCCCAAAAATTCTTTGGGAAATATGTATGCTGTTAAAACAACAACAACAGAGAATTTAAATAAAATAGAAAAAATTAAATTGTAAAAAACAGATTGATAAAATAAGTTTCTTAGAATTGATAAAATGAAAAAAAGTTCTCTCTAACAGAATGAAAAACTTAATCTTAGAAAAAAAACAATATGTTCCTAAAACTAAATGAAAAAAAAATATTTTTAAAATTATATCTAAAAATAAAAAGTAAATCCAATTGAAGTCAAATGAATGTAAAAAGGAAAAAAAATTAGTCCCTAAAATATAAATGAAATTGAACAAATATATCTAAATGTAAAAATTAAAAGAAACTTTAAATAAAAAAAAAGTTTCTAAAAATTAAACAAAATTAAAAAAATTGTCTTTTTAAAACAATAAAATTTAAAAGCTAAGTTAAAAAAGAAATATAAATATAAATTAAAGGATATTAAAAAAATATATGGATGTATAGGTAGTGTATATATTTCCTCTTTAAGACAATAAAACTTTGTAAATAAATGAATGAATTAAAAGAAAATTAAATAAAAATAAAATTGATTTAGAAGAGAAAAACATTTCAAAATTCAAATGGATTATTATTCCTTTTTAAAAAAATAGTACCTAAAAATAAATTTCCGAGCACCGACTATAGCGAAGACCTCAACTTTCCATAGGCACGCATACTTTCATATCTGCACTGGCGTTATTTTTGATTTTTATTTTTTTCGATCACGTTTTAACCTCCATTCTCAGTTTTAATTTACTAGATCATAAAAGATTCAAATCGGCCATCATAACGCAGTCCTTATTATAACGGTTAAAAATTATGGAAAAAACAAGCATTCAAAATAGCGATTACTTTTTATAAAAAAACAAAAATTAAAATTGTAAACAGCGATTATTTAAAACTAAAACCTAAAATAGCGATTCCTTTTTTTTTATCAAAAACATAAGAATTGAAAATTATCGATTAAAAGTAAAAATCTTAATAATTACTCTTTTTTGTTTCCGCAAAAATCGTTTTCCTAAAAATAAAAACACACAATTTTCATATTTCTTTTTATTACATTTTCTTTGTTTTCGTGAACATGCAATTTTTCTCGTAAATACTACATATACATGCATATTTTATTGCGTATAGTAGATAGCACAATACAAAGGTAAAATTAAATATTAATTTCGAAAATTATATACGCCTTAAAATTTTAATAATAAAATTACAAACAATACATTTAAGTGTATAATAATAATGCTAATTTAAAATTTCATAAAATACAATATTTATTTGTGATACAATTACATATATGTGTGACTATGCTAGTGAAGCTTAATACATACATAAAGGTTTTTGAATTTTTATTAAGGAATAATTACTTAATTTTTAAAGAAAAATTAAGGGGGTTAACTTAAATGGGAAAAGTGAAAAACTCGATTTTTCCCTCAATTTCATGGAACACCCCTATCATTTATGGATGTGTGTATGTTAGTCTTTGTGTGGATGCAAAACTACTATTACTGGCAAATAGTAAAGCTTAATGAAATAACTGGTTAAAATTTTCTAAATAAATACACAAAAAAATGTAGTTGGAACTATTTTTTTTTTGCAAATTTATAATTGACACATCCAAAAGAGAATTCAAGCTACAATTGATTATGTTTGGAATTTAAGCATTTCGTTAACTGGCGGACAGATGAAAAACCTAATGCCTTATTCATAAATAAAGTAGGTTTAAAGAGCTTTATAAAATGACGTTTTTATACATTTTTCAGTTTATAATCCTTCTTTAAAGCTACTTTAATTTTTATGAATAAGGTTATAAACATATACATACATATATTTCACTTATAGAAACTTAAATGAACTGATAAGTATTTCATTATATAGCACATGCATTAAGCACTTGAAAAAGAAATATATTACAACATTAATTTTTACCTTTCGTCACGGATTATGACAACTGTAAAATTTTTGTATTATAAGAAAAAATGCATTGCTGTTATTATTTTAATATTTTTTTTTAGTAATTCGATAACAATTTATGCACTCATAAAGTTCGCTATGGCTTAAGGTTAAAAATAATATCGAATATTAAATAAAAAATATACGCATATGTAACGGGTGATTTTTTTGAGGTTAGGATTTTCATGCATTAGTATTTGACAGATCACGTGGGATTTCAGACATGGTGTCAAAGAGAAAGATGCTCAGTATGCTTTGACATTTCATCATGAATAGACTTACTAACGAGCAACGCTTGCAAATCATTGAATTTTATTACCAAAATCAGTGTTCGGTTCGCTTTACGTCCGATTTATGGTCTACATAATCGACCAAGTGAGCAAACAATTAATGCGATTGTGACCAAGTTTCGCACTCAGTTTACTTTATTGGACATTAAACCAACCACACGAATGCGTACAGTGCGTACAGAAGAGAATATTGCGTCTGTTTCTGAGAGTGTTGCTGAAGACCGTGAAATGTCGATTCGTCGCCGTTCGCAGCAATTGGGTTTGCGAAACACATTTCGAACCGAACACTGATTTTGGTAATAAAATTCAATGATTTGCAAGCGTTGCTCGTTAGTAAGTCTATTCATGATGAAATGTCAAAGCATACTGAGCATCTTTCTCTTTGACACCATGTCTGAAATCCCACGTGATCTGTCAAATACTAATGCATGAAAATCCTAACCTCAAAAAAATCACCCGTTATAACAAATTAACAACAAATAAAAAATCGTTTTCTATGTATTTCCATGCATGTATGTATATAAGTATGTAAGCGCATTCATGTACATATGTATGTGTGCATCTTAGTTTTTAGTTTTAGTAACTGTTGGACACACATACATACATACATTAAAAAACACTTAGCATTTAAATATCGTAATTTTCTACTTTTTTTTTGCTTTAATTTAAAATAATTATAAAATAATTTTTTTCTTATCTTGTAAATTTTTCAAAAATTATAACTACTTTTTTGCTTCATCCTTTAAACGGTACTATGTGCTGCTCTTCATAATTCATTTCCGGTGCAGAAATCTGCCGAGTTCCTATAGATTTACGCTATCCGCTTTGAATTCACGCAGGTATGGATTGCATTGACCACCAATGCTGCTGCGTTCCTGCAAGGCTGCCGGTGCTGATTGTTGGTGTTGTAGTTCTTTGTGTTTTTCATGTTTCTCTTGCTGTTGTTGTTTCGAGTGATGTAAACGTTGACGGCGCATAATTACGGTGGTACTATTGGCGCCACCGCCGTCGCCGCCGCCGCAGCCAATTGTGGCTGTTGTGCTGGTGGCTGTCGGTGATGACAAGTTGGTGGCAATTGTTAGGCTCGCTGATGCGGCCACAGTATTGGCATTTAACCAGCTACATGTCGCGTCCGAATGCTCCTGATCCGGCGTCATTGAGATGTCGGATAGAATGCCGCTCTCTGCATGATGAAGATATGAGTGATTTTTTGACAAATAACCGTTAAATTACACATATATATACATAAGTAGTAGACAAAAAGTAGGAGGGAAGCCATACATATATATGTATGTATGTAGACAAAGGAGGATGCAACAGTATATACAGCACAGTACAAATAAATAGTGACAATGTTAGAAAAGTATATACAAGTTTGATTTTTTTTATATACAAGCAAGCAAAATATCAAAAAAAAACAACACAACCAAAAACAAAGGCCTGAGTACCAGGTACTCGTTAAATTTGAAGTGTAAACATCTGTGTACGGCTGGCAAAGCATTAAGCGCTTCAGTTAAACACATCTGTAAATAGGTTAAGTTGAAAATTAAAATGATTCCGACCTAGGTCCAAAACTGCCCTGAAGTAGTATTGAAAAGGTCGTGATCTTGTCCCGGAAGGAACTCGAAAAAGTCTTGAAACGCTCCAGTATGATCCCTTACTAGTCCCGAAATGTTTAGGAAATAGTCCTGAACTAGTTTCGAAATGTTCCATTATTAGTCCGTGAATGATCCCGACCTAGGCCCAAAATGATCCTAAAATAGTGCCGAAATGGTGCTGAACTTATACCAAAACGATCCTGAACTAGTCGCAAAATGTTCCTGATCTAGTTTCGAAATGGTCTAGATCCAGTTCCAAAAATGTCCTAAAATAGTCGTGAATTAGTCCTGAAATAGTCCCTTAGTGGTGCCAAAATGACCCCAACTAGTCTGAAAATAGTCTTGAACTGAAATAGCTCTGAAATGGTTCTGAATAGGTCCCGAAATGGTGTCGAAATGATACCGAACTATTCCCGAAAAGGTCCTGAAATAGTTCTGAACAGCCCCCGAAATGATCGAAAAAGATTCCGAACTTGGCCTAAAATGGTCCCGAATTTGCCTCGAAATGCCACAGATAGCGAGTCCCAAAAGGGTCCTGAAAATTTTCTGAACAGGTCATGAAATTATCCCGAACTAGTCTCGAAAAGGTACCACTGTAATCCTGAGCTATAAGTGGTACTAAACTAGACCAGCAATATTCAGGAAGCAGTTACAAATCGTCTGCTGGGTTAACGCAAATTTTACCCATACCAAGAGCTCCGATGTTTACACATCAATAATACATAAATATTTTACAAATAACTAATAATACTGATAATTAAAGTACAATTAACCAACTAATTACACATATGAAAAGATGTGCGTATAAAAACATATGTACATACCAAAATATTTATTATATAAATGTGACAGGTATGCAAAAACAAATTTTTCTAAATATAATAACTTAAAAAGTTTATACATATATGTACATATCGCACGCAATCTTCAAAGGTGACACAACTCAAATTAACATGTTCGTCATAAAATGTTAAAAATTATTTCTTACTTAGCACATGCTAATAATATGGACAAGGAAGACTTTACCTTAGGTTTTTTCAAGAAATTATAACAAAAATTTGCTCCTGCCTTTGCTGCAAAGTAAATAAAAGCTCTGTGTACATTTTTAGTGCATAATTTCAAAAATGCCAAATTTTGAGTTGCGCCATTTTTGAATATCGTGTGCGATATGTATATTAGACACTTAAACAGAATAGGGATTAGTAAAAATTAACACAACAGACAACAAAAACAGAAAACAAAAAACGATAACTTATACAAACAATACAAAAAAAAAAACAAAACACTTAGAAAAAATAACTCAATTCAAGCTCAATACCCATCGATAGTTGACTGACAAGCGTTGTAGAGCGTTTCGAACGCGTCGTAGTGCCGTTGTTCGCGCCGCCATTTAAGCCACCTCCATTTACTCCACTGCCGCCGCGACCACTATGACCACTGCGTCCACTACGTCCGCTACTGCCGCTACTACTCAGCGTATTTGTATTCGCGCCACTGCCACCATTTGATGTGGCCGCAGCTACGTTGCCGCCACCACCACCACTTAGCATTAATGTTTGCGTCTCATTGATTAGTTCGAGCGCATGATGACTGCTTATCGTGCCAGCTGCTGACTTGCCATGACAGCCGCCGCCGCCGCCACCGCCGCTGCTGCTGGTGCTGCCGCCGCCTACACGCTCGTGACCTGAGGAACTGCCAGTGCTGAGCGAGGAACTGCTTGTGCCACTTGACAGCGAACTCTCAGAGATGAGCGAATTGGGGCGACGTGCGTTCTTTGTGCCATCCAAATGCAAACCGGCGAAGGAGTGTCGCAGCTTGGGTGCTAAAAGGAAGTGGTGATTTGATTAGAATTCAATATATATGTATATACAAATTTAAGATATTCGGTGTAACACTTACCTTTGCCCAGTTGCGATATCGTTATGGAGCGATCATTGATCTGATTATTGCTCGGTCGTATGTCTAGGCAGGGTTTACTGCCAATACCCATCGAAGACATTTCGGCTAGGCGAATTTCTATAAAATAGAAAAGAGAGTAGGGAAAATTAGTAACTAAAAAGTTTTTTTTTAATAAATATTTAACAAATTTTATACTAAACGCAAAAACTTTAACATAATTTTAGAAAAATTTGAAAAGCAATAGTTAGCTAAGGGTTAAGTTTTGTAACAAAAGGGTTAACTCTTTACCAAAAACCATTTCGTTACTTTTTAGATCTAAAAAAAATTGTTGCTGTTGTAGCGGCTACTTAACCCTGCCATAAAAACTCAATCCTTCAGTCGATGTCGAGCTCTACTAAAGTTGGGCCCAGCAATCGAGTCTTCACAAGGAGGAGTCTAACCAGTCATAATTTTATTTTGTTCGGCGCTGGAACCGTTTAGCGATTTCGGCCAAGTCCAATAAAGGACACTATGCTAACTGATGCCAATGGAAATGCCACGAGAATAACCTGGCCTTTCCCTCGCAGAGGTGGCCTTCCTCTTTCAATACTACCACCAGCGTGGAATACTTTCAGGGAGAGAAACAATTTTCCAGCTACATTATTTAGATGGTATTTGTGCCAGAGAAACGCGGGTCTCTCATGACAGCTCTACATTTGCAATGTGTGTTTATTGGCGGCATTTACAGGACTAGAATTCGTTTGTCTCACGGTTAATGGCTTTTATAGCCTGTCGCATAACGTCCAATTCAGTGCCTTTTGTACGTGGATCTGGCTTTCATCCATTAGTTCATAGCGAGTTTCCCAGTACTGTCGGAGAGGCCCGTGTTGCGGCTTGGTACTTTGTGGGGAATTGCGGTTCGCGGAGAAAAAAGTAGATCGTCCAAAGTAACCATTAGTAGTATTGCAGCCTGAACAACTTTTGTCCAAGTGATGATTGTCAAACACTTAGTCTGTATTCAAGGTTTTCAAACGGCCACACGCTACTGCCTTCATAAATTGCTAGGAATAGGACAGTTATCGGTCGATTAGAATCTCCTTTGTCAGCAGACAAAGGTCGGCGTTCTCGCGAAAATCTCGTTAACGTCGCCGCAACGACCGTTATGTTTATCTGGCTCAGGGGTGTCGCTTTGACACCTATTTATACCAAAAGTATTTAAGGAATTCTTGTGCTTTTAAAACATCTCCGGATTGTAGGCTAAGTTAGTAATGGGATCACTCTCCAAGATTTCTACATATTAGAAATGACGAGAGTATTATTAGATAAGTTGAGGACCTTAGTGAAGTAGGCTAGTACTACTGGGTCCAGCTTTAGCTTGCGTATTACTTATGATTTCCTAACTTCGCCTTCCCCTCCAAAAAATTTTGTTAAATAGTAGGCTATGATACATATATGTATATATATAATTTTCAATGTCTATTTATCGATTTCGTTAGCGAAATAATTATTTATCGGTATGATATCGATATTTCGATCATTATGTTTATCGAAACCTTAATCGATATAATCATTAATATTGTTATCGATAAATTGATCGATATTGTTATACACATATCTATATAGCTATCGATAAATGTATTATAATAATCATGTTTGCGTTAAAGTGTGTTTGCATTGTTCAACTTTGCGTTCAACATTTGCGTTCAACTCAGCGCAGGGTTGCACGAAAAAAAAGTTGAATGGCTAAAAATATCAAAATATGAAAAAATATCAAAATATTCGCCATAAAAAGGTGTTTGCATTGTTCAACTTTGCATTCAACTTTTGGTTGAATGGCCTTTCAACTAATCGCTTTCAACAAAGTTGGTCGCCAGCCAACATTTAGCCATTCAACTTATTTTTCGTGCAACCCTGCGTTGAGTTGAACGCAATTGTTGAACGCAAAGTTGAATAATGCAAACACTGCTTTAATCGCTATTACTAGTCGAAAACCGACGCATTTTCGTACAACACTGATATCAATAGGTACATACGCATTTTCCAATATATTCATCGATATATCGGACGATAAAATTTATATTCGTGCCGTCGATTTCACATTTTTTTGTTTAGATACTGCTAACGATAGCTTCATCGATAGTGGTTACCACAGCGGACTTATATCCGAAATGGCGTTCTATATACAGTGGTAGTTTCTTGTAAACAATTTCCACTACTTTTGAGTTAAAGGATATTTTTAAACTCGTAAGTCATTTATCAGAAACCTATCTCGAAAATCCCCGAATTAACTTACCTCGATTTCGATTCGCTTGTTTCCATAATAACTTCGATATTTCCTCGGTCCAAGCATTTTTAATATCCTCCGACATACATTGCATTGTCCAAGTGTCGTCTGGCTTTCGTTTGCGGAACCAAATCTCAAATTTTGTTTTCGAATCACCAACATGCGCCGTCAAGCCAATATCCGATGTCTTAATGCTGTTTTTATAGATATATATGTCCAGGTTCTAAGTAACCATAAAAAGAATAAGATAGGTATATATGTATATAGGAAAACATTTTCTATTCTATTACCTTCTGATCTGGAAACCGACGTGCCTTACTGAACAGCACAAGATCTTCGAAGAGAAATATTTGTCGCAGCGATTTTTTACCACCACGTCCCTGCCATACCAAAAATTCGTTTTGTCTCAGAAGGCGACCTTGCTCCTTCACATTTACATCGCAATCCCGTAGCGAATCCATAGCCAATAAATCGTTGCCGTGTCGTAGCTGAAATTTGACCATTTCTTCAGCGCGTTGCAATTCCTCGACATCGGCGGCGATTTCTTGCAGAGCAGCGCCCTAAATGAGGAGTGTTGAGTGGGTTAGAGAAAGTCGGATTAAAATTATGGATTTTTTTTTAAAGGGTGGTAATTAGAAAGCTTTTTTCATTTCAAATTTTAAACGTTTGAAGCTCGCTTCTATGTAACCATGTACAGATCTGTGAAAGTTCTAAAGTAAAGTTACAACCTTTTTCGACATGACATAAAAGCTCTATCGCATCGATAATGCTATAAAGCTTAAGTGAAAGTTTGCTTACCTCAACAGCATTACACGCTTTCACCAACTGTTGCAAAAGCAAAGCATATTTTCCCATACGCTGCACAGGTTTCAGCAAATATGAGGCCAAGTCCATTTTGTCATTCAATTCGAATTGTTTGGACTGTAAACAGAAAATTTAAAAATAAAGAGCTTGCTATGAGAGCATCTTAATTTAACGATTATTTTCTGTCTTCGGTAATTATAAACCAGAAGTTACAGAAAATTTAATAACATAAAAAGTAAAAGATATCTAACAAAAGAATTTTGAAAAACGTATTAAATAAAAAAATAGAAACATGAGTATGAAATTAAATAAAAAACATTAACAATAATAACAAGTAAGAAAGTCTAAGTCCGGGCGGAGCCGAACATTAAATACCCGGCGCAAGTATTAAATATATGTTTTTTCACCTTTCCGAAACCTTCCGCTAGATGGTAAGCCGGGGTGTATCAATTTTGAGTAAATTAGCGTCCTTCAATTTCGAAATATTGAAGTTTCAAGCATTTCTGAAATTTACCGTTATATGAGAAGCGGCCGTTATTTTAGTCCGATTTCAATAATTTTCAACGTTTTGCTTATATGTGGCAAGCACAATAACCACACCGAGTTTGGTACAAATT